CAACGATCCAAGTTTGCTTGAAAGGGTCATAACTGGTGATGAAACATGGGTGTTACGGTTATGATGTCGAAACCAAAGCCCAATCGTCCCAATGGAAGAGCCCAGGTGAGCCAAGACCGAAAAAAGCACGTCAAGTTCGATCGAATGTCAAGGTTTTGCTTACTGTTTTCTTTGATTATAACGGCATAGTGCATCAAGAGTTCTTACCACAAGGTCGTACGGTTAATAAGGAGTATTACCTTGAAGTGATGCGACGTTTGCGTGAAGCAATCCGAAAAAACGCTCCGATTTATGGAAAAACAATTCATGGCTGTTGCACCACGATAACGCACCTGCTCACTCGTCGTTGCTTGTTCGTAATTTTTGGCCAAAAACAATACCGTAGTCATGCCCCAACCTCCATATTCACCAGATATGGCTCCGTGTGACTTTTTCCTATTCCCAAAGTTGAAGAGACCCATGAAAGGACGGCGGTTTTCCTCGATTGAAGAAATAAAGGCCGAATCGCTGAGAGTGCTCAAGGACATATCAAAAAGTGAATATCAAGGGTGCTTCGAAAATTGGAAAAAACGCTGGCATAAGTGTATTATATCTGGGGGGGACTACTTTGAAGGGAACCACATTAATGTAGACGAATAAATAAATATTTTTTTGAAAAAACGAAAATTCCGGGTACTTTTTGAACAGACCTCGTATAGACAAACTAATGGGGTTTATTGTTTTTATAATACTTGATTGTATATAGCATTCAAACAACACATCCTTTTACACTTAAAGTATTAGTATTTTTGATTCTCTAAAAATTTATTAGAATATTAGCAAAACAACGTTTGGCGGGTCAGCTAGTATATATATATATATATATATATATATTATAGAAAATAATCATTTATGTATTCATTTTGAGATACTAATTCGACTTCTTTGGTTTGTATTCAAAAATAGTATTTTGAAAAAAGCTGCATGATTCTCTTGAAACAGTGTCTCACACCAAAGGTTGGAAATCACTCGATTAGAACGAAGTTAGTAAAGATAAACTTACGTATGGGCAGTCTCTAATATAGTGTCCTTTCTTGAAACAAAGGTGACACAAATACGAGGACGGTGGCGGCCGTGACTGCCGTTTGCGACTTGGAACATCTTCCATGTTGGAAATGGTTAAATCGTTGATGTGCTCCGTCAAATTATTTATTAAATCAAGTCTTGTGTTATTAACACTGCTTCCTACACCTGAAAACAAAGTCAAGTTTGAATTATAGTTTTTCTGGTATTATATATCAATTTAAAATAATTGAATTTTTGCGATCTATCAGTCGCGCGAAGAGTTACTTTGAAAGAATTATCTTTGAAAGAATTACGTTGCATGATAGTAAAAAGATGTTGAACATGATAGTAAAAAGATTTCATATAATTCATTGGTTAGTTAATTACTACTGGAACTACGTTGTTAAATTTTACTACAATTATTTGATAAAATATATTATAGATACACACCTACGCACACACATTTTTGAAGTAAAACTTCTTTAGGCGCGACTAAGGTGTAAATCCGTACAAATGCAACGGAAGTAATAATGGTCATGGTATTTTAACTTATAAAAGTGTCTAAGTTATATACAATGTTTGGAACGGTCAATTTGACCGGCGTTAGTAGGTTTAGTGTTATTAATACAATACAACACTCTAATTACACATAAGATAACTCATCTCCGCCATTATCATTGTCAAAGTCTCTTCGACCGCTGGTATATAACTTCATAGCCAACTTCATACTTAACTTATATTTCGCACTATATGACCGTTACATTCAAACTTATAATAAATTAAATAATATAATCTTAATGTTTGGCCACACTTGACCACACAGTCTTCCTCGACTGTTCAACTACATGTGGCTTTTAGGTCGCATATTCATGCCATTTCGTTTTAGTGTACACAAGTGTTGCCATCAATACCATTTATATTTTTTACCACTTTATATTTTGTATACTTCCTACTTCTTCTCGTGTGGTACCCATGATCCTTTCTCTTCTTTGGCATCTTAATAACCTGACCACCAATTTTCATTTTTCCTTCATTCTATCCAAAGCTGTTCATTGACGCACTCCACTTCAACGCCATTCGTCAATTCACTAATAGTTTCTGCCTCCGCACATTGCTTAACTACCTTTTCAACGGATAAATTATACAGTAATGGATTTCTTTCAATGCTCAGATTAATTTATGACATCGTTTCTCTCAAGTTTCTAATGCTCTTCGCGTTTCATTTTCTTTTTCCGTTTCTCTTTACATTTTTGCTCCAACCAAATCTGTTGTAAAGCTTCCTGCTCTTCTTCTTCTTCTTTATGAATACATTCTGCCAATTTTCTTTGTAACCTTCCTTCTTCCTCTTTCAATTTCATCAAAGCGTATTGCATTGCTGCAATTATCGCTTTTTCAGTTTCTTTCGTATCTTCCTTATCCTTTTCACTATTATATCGCTTCATCATCATTCATATCATCATCCCACACTGATTCAACTTGCCGACTATTACCATTTTCCTTTTGTTTCATCTGCCATTCTGGCTCTGCATGCTGTTCCGCCTAACTTTCTGTACCTTCACTCACGCACTACAATCCACACTATTACAAATTTCCTTACGCATTGCCTCCAATACTTCAACTTTAGTGCGTACTCTATACCCGAAAAGTTCACACATCATACACTTCAGATCATCATACGGTAGTCTTACATTATCGGATTCAGCGTTGTACGATTTTCTGGCTAGTCCACCCAAACGCGGCACCAATAATATAGCTAATTTTCTCTTTGACACTTTATACGTCTCACCAATCGCATCTATCGCTCTAAAACACGATTCGACGTCCATATTGTCCTCACTAGGCCTTAAAAGTACGGAATCGTCGCAAATATATCCTGAATGGTTACTATGCGCACATACAAAACTCTCATCTGCAAATTGCTCGCCATTTTGAACTATCGACATTAGCTTCTATAATTATTATACTTCACTTCCCATTACACGTCCGATTACTGGATTTCCAATTCCATCAAATTCCTAATCCCGGCTAATCTGACGCTTCTTCGCTATTCGAAATCTTTGGATTTTTAATCTCTCATAGATTTCTAATCCCGCTGCTACGAACACTTTTTACGTAACCTTACTCTAGGTCTGACCCGTCCAGATACCATCGAACCACATATACTTTGGTAAATTTTTTGGTAAATCACACTTCTGATCTGTAATGTTTAACGACACAATACAATATTTTCATTACACATAACATAACTAATCTCCGCCATTGTAATTTTTTAAGTCTCCTCCTACGCAGGTATGTAATTTCATATTCAACTTATATGTAGCACTATATGACCGTTACATTTAAACATATAATTAGTTTATTATAATATAATCTTATATATATATATATATATATATATATATATATATATAATCTTAATACAGGGGTGTCAAACTCAATTTTGCAGCGGGCCATTTATTAAATTTTGAATTCATAGGCGGGCCGGATTGAAAATAAGCTGGCGTCATTGGCATTTTGCCTTAAGGCAAATTACATGAACTTCTTAGTGCATGTAATAGTAATCAATAATAATTGATATTTAGAAAATAAATTCAACTATTTTTTTATTTCGAATATAAAATTTTCTCTCGTTCTAAAATGCGATTTCTAATTGATATTTGCAAACAGACCTTTATTACGTATATGTAATTATATTAATTATAGTACACAAACATTTTAATGACTTTTTATAATTGAACACATTTCCGGCCCCAAATATTTTTGTATGTTTGTTTGATGAAATAACGTCTTCAATCTCGTTAAATTGTTAACAAGGAAATGGCTCGACGATACCCAAGAAAGGCATTTCAACTTCTACTGGACCGATTTACTTTTACTTATTTATAGACTTCTTTCTCTTCAGTATAAACGTTTTATCGTTTGATCTCTTGTGAAAACGTGGACGAAAAATTTTGCATGTTTCTGCTAATTCCAAGAAAAAACATTGTTTCGCGAAACTAATCAAAGCTCGTTCTTATCGAGTGTCATCGATTAGAATGGCTTTTAAATTTCTGTAATTGATTCAGACGCTTCCGACAAAACTTACGAAACTTGACGAAAGTTAAACTTTCATTTATCACGCCACCAAAGCAAATTTTGAACTTTGAATTTTTATAATTAAACCATTTGTCGTAGGGCCCTAATATTTTAGTATGTTCTTCGAAACCATGATCACTATCATCACGAAATCGGTGTTTTATTACGAAGAAACTGCTCGGCCGATCTTTATCAAAGATTAATCAGCGGGATTCCCAACCAATTCCTTTCGGATATTTTTTAAATTTTTTTCTAGTCTGTGGTAATTATAAACCCACGGGCTCGGACGATTGATGCGACTAACTCTTTATCGAGTTACATTGATTGGTTCAGAATTTTTTGCAAACTTTAAATTTTTTGAAATCAGTTCAGCTTTTGTAGAATATAAGCGCTTATATATTTACAGTATGTATTTATAATAAATAATCTATTTGAAATTATTTAAAACAATATTTTCATTCCTCGAAGGTTTAATTACGGCACGGGAAACTCAAGCAACTCAATCAATATGAATTAAAATTTAGCAACTACCAAAATTACGACGATAGAAGTTTGTAACTTTGACACGTTTGGCCTATTATTCCAAAATTCAATGAATTTTAATAATTCAGACCTCTTATTGAAAACTTTTTGTAGTCCCATAATATTTTAAGATGTTCGTTAAGATCAACGCGATTCTCAAATAATATCTTTCAAAAGGTGCAGTTTTCTGAAAATTTTAAAAACGGTTTGGCCGATCGTCTCGCAAAATTAATAACTTATAATGAAATAAAATGGTTGAAATCGTTTCAGCCGTCTTCGTGAAAACGTAGACAAAATGTGAAATTTGGGTTTATGTACAGACACAGTTTTTCCAATTTTGGTCTCAAACGATTCAGTATGACTTGAAATGCCGAGAGAACATAAAATTAGCAAGTCCGATTTCTTGATAAAAACAAACTTCTCCTTCGGGAATTTAATAAAGTGAACAATGAATTATATTAATCTTATCACATGATTACCAAACAATTATCTAGACATACTTGTATTTAATGAAATTATTTAGAAATATGAAAGCAAATTAATAATAAAGAATAGTAATCCATGATTTAATAAATGTCAAATAGGCGAAACGCGTCAAAATAATTCAATATCTCATATTGTGAAAGAGTTTTCGACAGATTCTCACTTTTCAGATATAACTAATACTAATGTGTTCGATAATAATAGTTGCTTACCATTCGAACTTATTTTTCTTGATTACCTATTGATTACCTACATTCTCAGTTTTAAATTCGATTTCAATTGATATATTAATAACAAAGCATACCTGATGTGCATGGAATGACAGGAGGAGGAGGCTCGAAACAAAATACGGCGGGAGGGCCATGATGACAGTTGACTGTCTGACGACTATTTATTACATTTGGCGGTTGTTGGCGAGCACTAGGAAATGGTTGCCATAGTCCATGAGATAATTTACCCTAAAAAAAAATAATGTATTACATACATAGGTTAAATTGTTATTTTATTTTGTGTTTTTTTATTTAGTTTTAATACAAATGCATTTGGTCATTTATGTAATACACATGTAATAATAGTCATAAAGGGTCTGGGTGTGTTTCCATACAGAATCGGCCCACCCTGGTATTTAAATGATTTTGATGCCATTTTACGGATATTTTCGAGAAAATTCGAAATACCAAATTTGAAATCCGTAGCTCATCATTTGGCCGAGATATCAGTGAAAACATGTGAAAGTGGACACTTTTTTCAAACTCACTTTTTGTCGGAAATATGAGAGATATCGAAAAAATGTTAACGTCATTCTATTTATACTGATCTTGTCCATGCTGTTCATAACAAATAAGGTAAAAAAATAATTTGTTAGTGCGTGAAAACATGAAAATAATTTTTCATTTTCCATTTTCTACCAGTCCGGCTCTTTGGGCTACTTTTAAATTAGCATCATTCGAAAGCCTGCACTTTTTTCTGTTATTCAAAAATTCATTTAAATGTAGGTGGAACTTTGTGGTGTAAAGTTGGAAAAACTTAAACTAGTACACGCGCTGCCGGTACAAGAACGCCCATATAAGTTCACTTTGCAAGAGCGACGACCAAGCATAAGGCTCATCGTTATCGCGCGTCTCGACAAGATCTGTATATACTTTTGGAAATATTTGTTAAAACCCAAAATTCATTTATATCTTGTATATAAGTATATTTATCAGTCATAATAAAAAATCCAACGCGCCGAATAAAAACAATAATTATTATTATTGATTATTTTCATTCGCCGTATAAGTTTGTTACTAATATATTTCGATGTATAAAAAACTTTCAAGATTTCAATATTTTTGATATATTTATGTAGGCAATAAAACGTATTTTAATTTTAATTCATTTCTTTTTTCGATTTTTTACAATGTTATTATATTTTATATAGTTATCATCAAATAAAAAATCGATAAAAATATATGTAAGAATACATTTCATAACTATTCAACGCAAGTATATTAGTATTAAAAATATATTAAGTAAAGTATTAAAAGTATTATAAAAAATATTTCTCTGTGAGGAATTATTTTGTCTACACATACGTGACACATAGAATGTCACAAATTATAATTATTATGGCTGTATAACTACTATACAATCTGCATTATTAACAGTTTTCTTAATTTAATTCCCTTTCTATGTAAATATTTATTGTAATACTTGCACTATTCGATATTGCAATTTCAGCCAAGTCATAAATAGTGCACAGAAAGCACAAAAAAGAAAATATTTTTTTTGCAAAACTAATATTGATTCAAAAAATAGAATTGCTATTTTACCTATACTCCATGGAAAACCACAATAATTATAATTTGTGAAATTCTATGTGTTGCATATGTGTAAACAAATTGCTCACAGAGATATATTTTTCAATATACTTTTAATATATCAAAAATATTGAAATCTTGAAAGTTTTTTATATATCGAAATATATTAGTCACAAGCTTATACGGCAAATGAAAATAATCAATAATAATAAATGATTTTTTCACCTTATTTGTTATGAACAACATAGACAAGATCAGTATAAATAGAATGACGTTAACATTTTTTCGAGATCTCTCATATTTCCGACAAAACGTGAGTTTAAAAAAACATGTTTTCACTGATATCTCGGCCAAATGATGAGTTACGGATTTGAAATTTGGTATTTCTAATTTTCTCGAAAATACCTATAAAATGGCATCAAAATCATTTAAATGCCAGGGTGGGGCCAATTCTGTATGGAAACACGCCCATACCCTTTCTTTATTATAATTATAATCAAAACTTATAAATATACTGATATAAAATTATTTCGATATCGACTGAAATATCACTCCAAAAAGACAAAGTTAGTGGTAGTATGAACAAAATGACATGGTGTTTTTAATGATATTTATTTATTTAACATTATTATTATCTCAATCGCTTTAACTCATGTTAGATTCATTGACTGCCAGTAAAATAATCTTAATTTAGAAGAAACATATTTATTAAGAAAAAATGCTAAGAACAAAAACCATTTCGTCAATATAGTTGACAACGGAGAAAATTACATAAAATACAGGTATATAAGGTAAATACATGCTGAGATATTAATTTTATGAAGACAGTTCATAAATAAATCGTTTACTTTTGATCCTTTTTGGAGACATCAGTACATGAATCTTGGGCTCCAAGCGAATAAATCATACATAATAACCACCCTTCACCGAACTCAGAACAGAAAGGAGGTGTTTGCAATAAATGCAAGTCTCTTCTTCTTACCGGAGAATCCTTTATCTTGTTTTCAAAAGTAGTTAGAGTGAAAGTTAAAAGCCAAACACCTTTTACAGGTTTCAATGTTAATTTTTTCTTGGTCTCAAATGAACTGCCCTGCAGTTATTGCGAAATAGTATTGTGTCATTTTGTCCATTGTATAAGTATGTCATTTTGTCCAAAACCATACAAAAATGAATAAACAATCAAAATTCCACCAAGCGCCTGAAAATCGCAATGATAATAATTACAAATAACAATAAATAAGTCCTCAGAAAGCATGAGAAAAGCACTCGCAACTGATTACAGCGACAAGACTACAACGTTACTAAAACTGGCCAATTTAAATAAGGTGTTATTTTGTCTATGCATACCACGAAGAAGAGAGCTACTGACGAGCAAACTGAGAGACTAATAAAAGTGATACGTCTGGAGCATAGCTCTGTACGGATCGGAGACATGGACTCTTAAAAAGGCCGATAAAAACTACCACGAGAGTTTTGAAATGCGGTGCTAGAGACGAATGGAAAAGATAAAGTGGACAGACAAAGTAACAAATGAAGAAGTCCTGAGAAGAGTGGACGAAGAAAGGACTCTACTGAGCACAATTCTGAAAAGAAAAGGAAACTGAATCGGACCTCTTTTGCAAAAAGAGTGCTTCCTGCACGACGTTGTCGAGAGTAGAATAGAAGGAACAAAAGCAATAGGAAGAAGAAGAATGCAGACGATTGACGACTTACACAAGAAGAGAAAATACAGAGAACGGAAAGCCGAAGCACATGATCAAGAAGCATGGAAACGGAAGTTTGGAAAGAAAAATACATGAAATAAAAAAAATGGGAATAGTGGAAACGGGATGAAGGGTAAGGGAATCATTTGTTTATAGTGGTTCTCACACCATGGTAGTCGTCCTTCGGGCAGACTACCATTTATTATTATATATATAATATATATAATAATGAAAAATTATACTTTTCAACGAAACCAATAAAAATATGTATGTATGTATGTATATATATATATATATATATATATATATATATATATATATATATATATATATGTATATATATACTGATACAATACTGACTTACTAATACAATACTGAAGTTAAAATAAACATTTTATATTAGGTTCTAATTTACTAAGCTTTTTCTTTTTGTCAATAAGTTAAAGCAAATTTTTGTACATATGATTACATTTAGGCATTTGGTTTCAGTTTCTTCATAAAGCCATTTCTTAATGAATCTACTTAGCTAGTTGACATTTTCTTAACTCAGAAAGGAATTATATCTAAATTTTTATATATATATATATATATATATATATATATTTATATATATATATATATATTGTTAAATCTTTTTTTAGTTATCAAGTTTGCAACTAAGTATGTGCGCATCTTAAGTTAGAAAATCAAAGACAATTTTTGCGTAGAATTAAATAACTTTATTCTGTATACCATTTTGATCTATGACAATTTGTTATTTTCCGAGAAGCATCACTATCCCAAGTTTAAAAACTTCTAGTTTTTATTAGCAAAAACACAATTTGACACTATCATATTTTTTTTTTAAATTCAAGTGTTTTAATCAGAATCAGTGGTCACGAATATTTAGTGGATGTAGAGAAAAATTTCAACCAATCCCCAATAATTTTTAAACATAACCAAATTGTTTCTATTAGCCGAATCGATTATTGCTTTAATTAGGTTGTCCAAAACTTTAAATGGACAATCAGAGCAGCATTGAGTAGAAAATCACCAGAATGGCATTTTTAAAACCAATTTTAACATAGCTGTTTTTTTAGGGCTTCGACACCATAAACAAAGACACCTATTCTTCGAGAAGATCGTTTTACCCTTTGCAGAAATAAAAACGCAAAATTTGACTAAAATATTTGTTTCGATATTTCATTTTTCAACAAACGCTAATACGTTTCAACAAACGAAAACTACATAACCGATCAAAAAAGTATTTTCTACTAATCTACAGATAAATTTCTCACCATACAATAAAAAATGTGTTTTACATGTAGACTACCTCAACAAACCTTAAGAATCATTTGAAGCAATCTAGAAGAAACTAGCTGTAAGTGGAACTCTGTCTTAAGGCAATTAAGGCATCGTGCCTTAAGGCAAATTGCTGGAACTTCCCGTACCAAAAATTATTATTTTTTTAAAAGCGATTAACATTTTTGAAAAAATTTTACTTCGAAGCGATTTACTTTTTTGAAAAAAAAAATGTTTTCTTCATTTTGACATAGTTTGGAAATTCTGAACTTTTTTTCAAAGCAATCGTACTGCTTTAACTGCATAGAGGCAAAATGTCAACGCGCGTAAGCGCCGCGTCGTCGTCTAACGGATAAACATTAGTACAGAACCCACAGGAATGTAAACAAAATTCATACTTATTGTAAAAATTTATATGCAATATCTGATAATTTGATGTGCATATGTCTAATGATCATTTTCGACCGCCAAATGGCTTTTTGTTTTACTTTTTTCATTAGATCTCCGAAATCGCTAGGCCTGCCTTCATGAAAATTTGATCAATTCTTCATCTTGTCAATACAAGTAAAATGTTTTTTGAATTTTCAAAATTGGACGCTCCGTTCTCTTAAAAACCGTGTTACCGTTTTTGGCACTTTTTGCCCCGTATCTTCGGAACGGCTAAACCTGCCTCTACCAAAAACTAATCAGCACGTCTCCTTATCAGTACGAATCGAATGTTTTTTAAATTATTTAAATCTGTTGATCGGTGTTCTCGAAATCGTCAACGAATATTTGTATCCGAACACACACGCACACACACACACACACATATATGGAGGCTTAGTCCATATTAATACCAATTGTAGTCATAATAAATTTCATAAAATATTATTTATATTTCGTTTATTTTATATATGATTAATATCCACGACACTATGTGTTGTCATACTGATCATTAATAAAACGTTATTGGTATTTTCTTATTTATAATAGAAAAGAAAGGTTTCAAGAATTATACATTTTTTTGGCAAAAACTACTAGAGAGAGACAAAAGCCGTGTCCGATCTGACACTTGAATTTATTTTTGTTTTTTTCTGTGCTGTCAATATATGGGCCAATCTGTCCAGTAACATGTGATGCGTGTTGACAAGCCGCGATGCGTGTTGGCAACCCGCTACATCACTCCGCCCTAATGAAAAAGATTGTTTCGCATCTCTGACTGCCATTCTTGAACTTCCTTGTAAATTTCTTTTGGTTGAGATTGTGTGATAAATTGCCGTGTTGGCTTGTTGAGTTTGTTGATTGCTTACGTGGCCCTTCGCTGGTGAGTTAGCGGTTGAGTA